TTGTAATCACAGAACTCGAAGAAAAAGTCCACGGGGGTGTCGCTGCTGCTGGTGACTGACGAGTCACTGCCCACCGTCCAGTACTTGCCCGTGGAGTCTAGGGGGAAGGCAGCATGTCAGACAGCCCACCACCCATTGGCCCAGGGGTCAACACCCCTCCCGCTCCCAAAAGAAGCATCCGGAACAGGCCCAGGGCCTTCTCTCCACTTGGACCGGGAACTCCAAGGCCAAGTGGCGGCCCCGGCCGTGGGGCGCCTCCCCAGGGGGCCATGTCCCCAGTCCCCCACCCCCAACCCCCCGGTCCCTGGGGACCTGCCTCGAATGTTGTAGGCCCCGTCATTGAACTCAAGCTGGAAGACATCGTAGCTGGAACGGTTGGCGTCCAGGGTGCCCGTGACCTTGCGGCAGCCAATGAAGCCGTGCTCCCCACGCAGCACGATAATAGGTCGGTTGATGAGCTTCATCAGAAACAGCTCGGCGTCCCCTGTCCCAGGAGGAGGACTCTGAGCTCTGGGCTGGGCAAGGCCCCGGGGACACTGAAACCCCGGGGGACAGCAGGGGCCTGGGCTGCGGGGAGCAGTCAGTTACCTGCGGTCTCCACCGAGGCTGCCAGCTGCCCGTTCTTCTTGGCCGTCACGAACTTGCCGTTGGACGCGCGCAGGGTGATCCTCCTGTCACGCCACTCAATGTCGAAGTAGCAGCTGGCATTCCTGCGGGCGGGGACAGTCAGGGCCTCTCCCGGGCAGGGGGCCCACGGGGAGGCGGGTGCAGGGGGCTAGGACACTCACTTGGTGGAGGCGGTGGACTGCACGCCCCCGGTGGCAGTCAGCGTCCAGTACTTGCCCGTGTGGGTGCGGAAGGCGCACTTCTTGGTGTCACGGTCAATCTCCAGCTGAAAGGTCTCCTGGTCAGTCTCTTCGTCCTGATTGGCTGACAGGTCCATACCTGCAGGCAGAGCCAGAAGGGGTGGTTCAGGGTCGCACTGTGGGGGCTGAACTCTTCCTCCCAAAGGCTATGCTTGGAACCTAGAAGCACAATCTTGTCTGAGACAAGGGTCTGTCAAGATGTAATCCATCAGTTAATGTGAGGTCACCCTGGAGGAGGGCAGGTCTAAGCTCTGGTGGCTCAGTATTAAGGAGCTTTGCTGCCAACTCAAAGGTATATGGTTCGAATCCACCAGCTGCTCCAAAGGAGACATCCGGGCTGTCTCTTCCTGTGTGAATTCCTGCCTCTGAAAACCCCCGGGGCATCAGCTATGGGTTGGTTCTGACTCGACGGGACCTGACGGGACCACGGGAGGCAGGGCTCCAAGATCATCCACACCAAGGACCAGTGACCCCACCAGGGCTGAGAGGGGGCTTCGAACAGATTCTCCACAAGGAACCAACACAACTGACCAACCCTCCTCTTGACCTCCTGGTTCTTCTATTTCAGCAACCCCGGAACTAAACTGCTGCGTAACTGACTGACCTCACAGCGACCCCGCAGGACAGGGTACCACTGCCCCACTGGGCTCCCAAGGCACGGCTGGTGGGTTTGAACCGCTGACTGTGCCAGCAGGGTTCATGAGGACACTGAAACCCACAGTTCCTTCCGCTGGAGCCCAGCTCCTCCTGCACTTGGGCCTCATCATTTTGGACAGCCAGAAGCTGCAGAGATGCTCCCTCTTCACCCTGAGCCACTCCAGACAGACAGAAGCCCAGAGAGGGAACGACACCTGTGAGGAACACGCTGCTCGGAACCTTCGAGACCCAGAGGGCAGCATTTGCCCCAAAGCCAAAGCCTGGAGGAGGGGGTGGGGAGCGGACGCGCTGAGACAGAGGGGACTCCAGTGCCACCAAATAACCTCCACCTAAAATGCTGAACAGGAAACGCGTTTCCTTTATAAACTCACACCCAGCCCGTAATTAAATACCCACTGCCACTCTGTCAGTGACCCAGGGGACTCTGAAGGACAGCACAGAAGGACCCCATCTTTCTCCTGCTGAGTGGCTCTGGACAGGCAGCCCCACGCTCAATCCACTGCACTACCAAAGGCTTCTCAAACTCTTCCTCAAAAAAGGCCACTCCTGAGCCCTGAGGGGCGGGCGCTGCCTGGTGAGGGGGTGGGATGTCCTGCTAACGGTGGTTATGCAAGCGGTGGCCCAGTCTTTCTTCTTCAGAGACATATGGAAGCATTTGAAGATGGAATGGCATGATGTCAGGGATGTGCTGAAAATAAACCAAAACCAGCGGGCGAAGGGAGGCACGAAGGGAGGTGGCAGGACGACGTAGCCAGGCAGTGTCAGGGCAGCTGCACGGGGTCTGGCGTGTCCTTCCTGTTTAAGGACACACCTAAGGGTTCAGAGAGCAAGAAGACCATTTCCGTTCTGCAAACCCAGGTGACTGGATGTAGACAAATGAAGTTGGACCCATCCCCGTGCCCACCTGGGTCACAGCTGGCACAGACACTTCTAGGCTTTTCTGTCGTTAGGTGCTGCCAAGTACGGAGGGAGCCCAGGATTGCAGCCACCGTCAGCCCACCTACTCGAGGGTTTTCCTCTGTCAGTGAAACCCCCCTTTGCAAGCATGAGGTCCTTCTCCCAGGCCTCGTCCTTCCTGACCACTCGTCCCGAGTGCGTGAGATCAAGTCCCACCATCCTGCTAAGGACCAGTTTGGCTGCTCTTCTTCCAAGACGACTCTTAGCCGCATGCCACATTATGTCCCGGACAAGCACGGCCTGAGACGGACTCTTAGCCGCATGCCACATTATGTCCCGGACAAGCACGGCCTGAGACGGACTCTTAGCCGCATGCCACATTATGTCCCGGACAAGCACGGCCCTCATGCTGAGATGCACAAAGCTCCACAGTCTGTGTGCACTCAGGCACCAAAAGAGTCCACGTACAAAGGGGGGGGGTGGCAGGGGGGGCTGGATGGAACATTTCTCCCCGTCCACGGTGGAGAGCCCAGTTCCATTCCCAGACAGGCCACCCCAGGCACAGCTACCACCACCGTCAGCAGGGGTGACCATGCTGCCATGACGTGGAACAGGCTTCCGAGGAGCTTCCAGACTGAGACAGACTAGCAAGAAAGGACTGGCGACTCACGTCAGAAAATCAGTGCACAAGAACCTACTGGACCACAGAGCCAGCGCCAGGCTGGGTGGGCAGTGTCTGTTCCTTTACTTGGGGCTGTCATGGACCAGGGTGACTCCATAGTCATCAACAGCCATGCCCAGCGTGTACCTGACATACCTGCACACACGTGCACATCAGTCTGTAGGGGCACACTGCGTGTCAATAAGTCACCTTGGATGGAACCATGTAAGAAGACCTGGTGACACAGTGAGTTAACTGCTGGAGTACTAACCAGAAGGTTGTCAGTTCAAACCCACCATTTACTCCCCAGGAGAAAGAGGATCTGCCTGCTTCTGTCAAAGGAGGACAGCCTTCTTTTTCGCTCCTTATCTCCTTTCCTCGAGGGAAGTCTGTTCTTTGGAGATGTAACTTTCTAATAAATCTATCATTTAAAAAAAAAAACCAACCCAAACACAAAACCACAAGTGCAGCCTTAGGGAACTCGGTGGCAAGAAGCTGCACTGCAGTCCCTGAGAGGTTCAAGTCCACCAGATGCTCCTCTGGAGAAGGAGGGGCAGTCTCTTCCTGTGCCAGTCGATCCGAGGGCACACAGAACAGCCCTGGAGAGCCCACAGCTCAGTTCTACTCTGTCCTACCGGGTCACATTGTTGAGCTGCAATTAACGAGTGTGTTTTGGGATTGGTGACCATGTGAATCCAAACCCAGGACACTGGGGATCACCTCCAGGTTTTGCCATGATACAGGGGCCATTCTTGCAGCCACATTTTTACTTAAAAATTCCATTAATTGTAACTAGTGAAGGTAATTAATTACTGCCTCGTCAGTCTCATAGTGTATTTAGTCTTTCATAACCACATCATTTTTTACAAATCCTCCAACAAGAAATGTGGAGGTAGATCGCTGAGTCAAACAACGTCCAGTGTCTGTTCCCCCAGAGCACGGGATTCTAAAACCTCAGCATCCAGGACATCCAGGCCACCCCCCAGGGCCTCCCCGATGAGAAAACAGAGGCTGGGCCACCAGAGGTGTCCTTCAATCTACAATCACATCGGTGACCTGGGGCAGGACAATGCAGAGGGACGCTGGGGGGGGGGTTGTCCTTGCCCAGGGTCACCCTCAAGGAAGGAAGGGCACCTGTGGCTAAAATGAGCCGCTCTGTCCTCCTCCAAGCTCTCCCTCAACCATCTGGGGTCTCGCAGGCGTGGCCTGAGGGTTTGAAGGTATGGGCACCTGGAACTGTCCAGGCTGTTGGGAGGTGAACAAACTGAAGCCATCCTGCCCCCACACCATTAGTGGGCCCCCAACACTCACTGCTATGCAGCACCACACAGGGCTTCCTAACGGCCCTGTACGACAGGGCAGAACTGCCTCAACTTCTGCTATGGAGCGAGTGGTGGGTTCAAACACCAACCTTCCAGTCAGCAGCCCATAGTCTCATGCTGCCAGAGGCCCCCAAGCCAGAGGCCCCAGAACCCTGATTTGTTTCTCTGCCAGGGAGCTCCTGGGGACCACCAAGCGGGAAGCCCTCTCCTCCTCACCCTGTGTTCCGCCCTAAAGCACTCTGCACATCTACAGGGACTACTCACCCCCGCTCAGACATGAGGACAGCACACACCCTCACTGCCACTCAGCGCTACCTGCCCAGTGGTGGTGGGGCCAGGCAATGGCTGATGGAAAGAGAACAGAAAAGAGGGAGCCCCCTCACCCCACCTAGAAGCAGGAAAGAAAAGGGGGCTCCAAACTCTCACTAAGAGGGAAATGAGGCCATTTCCTGGGCTCTGCTGGATCTGGGGAAAGCAAGGTGCACACAGGACTGGACAGAAAGACACTAGACCAACCCCTCCCTGAGGCTCACAGAGCTTGTGTGACCGAGATCAATCAGGCAGCCTGAGAGCATCTCATGAGGACCTGTCTTACTTGATCCGAGCAGAGTATTAACCTGAGGACAGAAATGCACGCACCTGCCCCCAAGAAACGTAGAAGTGGACAGGAATGGATGCCTCTGAGTGAAGGTGATGGTGAGTTATGTTAGACAAAACCAGAACAAGCAAATCTGTCCTCAAATTCGGCTAGAATGCTCCTTAGAACAGAGCAGGCACGACTCCATCAAGCTCATCGTGGGCAGGCTCTCAGGAGAGCCCAGTCCCTGGAGGAGGACATCATGCTTGGTGAGAAAGTCAATGAAAAAGAGAAAGACCCTCAACGAGACAGAGACAGAGCGGCATCCGGCTGCCAACAGTGGTGGAGCATAGCAGGGACCGAGGACAGTGAAGGTGCGGGCAGAGATCCGTCCTGTCGGACACAGAACCATCTTGATGTTCCCTAACATGGTCACTGTGTCCCGAGCCACGTTGTTAGATGGCCTCATTTGGTGACCGCCCCCAAGCACAAGAGAAGCAAACGCTGCTGGTCTAGTGCCATGTTCAGGTCCGGTGGTCAATGAGAGCCCACCATGGTGCTTCTGATTCGGAGTGCCTCTCATCTTAATCAGGGTTCTGTTGTCATCCGTGGGCTTTCATTTCCTTTATTTTTTTTTATTTTTATTTTTATTTTATTTTTGTGTGAGTGTACCGTCAAATCAGATCTGACTGGTACAGGAGATTGTCCCTCCTTCCCTGGCAGAGCATCTGGTGGATTCGAACCATGCGCCTCTGGGATTGTAGTTGCAGCTCCTTGCCACTAGGCCACCAGAGCTCCCCTAGAAGGGCTTTCATTTCTGTGGAGGAGACTGCCAGGTCTTTCTTCCTCGTCCATCTGGAAGTTCTAATGGAATCTGTCCATCATGGATGGTGCTACTGAACCAGTATTTACCAGTGGTGACATAGCCTTGGAGCACCACAGTAACAGGCCGGCCACCAGGGTGACCAATGGACAGACGGGGTGAGAGTAGGCTTGCACCTTCACAGCCACTTCAGGCCCCGACAGCAACACTCTCCCTTTCACAGAAAAGGAAACAGGCCCCCCAGGGTCAGGAGCATCCTTTGCTCTGGTTCTCAGGCCCCCTCAGTTGGGTGTGCTCACACAGGAGCTGGCTGGCTGGCTGCGGAGGCCTGGGCCAGCCCGAAGGGCCTGAAAGGGGCACCACGCGTGCTTAGACCGCGTCCTCCTCACAGCGTCGACGTCCCGGTATACAGGGCCCACCCTCTCCATTTTACCAAGACACTGAAAGGACTGGGGGGAAGGGCTGGTGCCAACTCTGAGCCCACCTACTCAGCAGGCCCCACCCAGCCTCAAGGCCCAGCCCAGACAGGAAACACCCTGCACCCCTCCCCACCCCGCATCCCAGCTGGAAGGGCCTCACTTGGCCTTGGAGCTGCTAATTAGAGCCATGTTCCTATGGAAACAAGTTTTCCTTGGATTTGTCTTTTCAGCAACAGCAGCATAGAAAATCTGAATCAGAGGCCGGGCTCTGCTAAACTCAGCCCTGGGGCACACTGCCCCAGTGGGAACAGGGTGACAGGGACACCAGGGACCTCAGGCCTTCCAGACATGTGCATGTGTCTGTGGAGCTGCCTCTGGCCTGAGACTTCCTCTTCAGTGGTCAGACGGGGCACCCTCTCCCCCTAACACCTTCCATGGCTCCCCATTGCTCTCAGGTCTTAACAAAGGCCAAGCTGAGTTCCCAAAGTCCCCTTGACTTGTTCTAAACAGGTGTACCTTCCCCCTTGTTCCACTTAAGGGAGGGGCTGGAATCCCTCTGGCCTTTCTCCCCTGTCTGATCCACATGACCCTGTCCTGGCTGGGCCACCCATGCCTCACCAGGGGAACTCTTATACATCCTGCAAAGCCCAGCCTAACCACACCTGAGCAAAGCAGCGTCTGACACGGCACTGAGGCCCCTGCCAGGAGCCCACCTGCCTGGGAAGAGGCTGGTGGGAGCGGCTGCTGACACTGCACAGGAGGGGGGATGGGGTCAGGCAGTGGCCAAGGCCCGGTGCAATGACAAAGAGCCTGGGGTGGCACGTTACAGGTGGGGAAACTGAGACCTGAGAACAGGCTGAAGCTCCAGCAGGAAGCACCTGGTCCCCTAAAACAGGCCTGCACGGGCCTAAGAGGATGGATGATTCACATCCCCAGCTTCCAGGCCAGTTCCTGGCTTGTGGGGAGGCAGGGACCCGCCTCCAGAGACCCCGCCCCCCGTGCCACGCAGGCCAGTCCAAAATGGCCTTCAAATACAGGAGAGGTCCCCAGAAGACCTGGACTGCTGTCTCATCCTTGGAAGGCTCAAAGTCAGCTAACATGGACACAGTGGAGAATCCCAAGCCAGCTGAGCCCCAACTTCGCCCCTCTCCCGGCCCACGCCCTTTAAACTCAGCCATGAGCAAAGCCATCTCCTTCTCCCCCGCCCCCCATCCCTTCTTCCTGCCCCATCAGCCTGAATCACCATCATGCTGCTGCGAGGAGACCTGTCCAGGCGCGTCCCTCTGGGCCATCATGGACACCCTCACGTAGTCTCTGTCCCCTTAAGGCCCCAAGAGGCAGGTGCTGCCCGGCTTTCCCAAGGAGGGTCCAGAACCTGTCTGTTCGCCCACGAGGGTCCCATCACCCGCCTGGTGGCTCCTGCAGCCCCACCTCCCACCGTTTCTCTGGCCACATCTGGGTTTCAAGGCGCCTCCTGTCTCAGGGCTTTTGTTCCCTCTGCCCACCTCCCCCATCTTAAGGGACCCCAGCTTTTTCCTCGACATCTCTGGGGTTATGATCATGTCCCTCCAGGGGGAACAGCAGCCACACTCACACGCCCCTCTGTTCACCCCTCAAACCCAGCCACTAGGTGGGAACCCAGCCCCACCCAGCCTCAGAGAAAAAGGAAGGTGAGCTCCACCCTGAGAAGTGGAGGCTGCCTGGGAAGGTGCGGAGGCAGCTGGGGTCCGGATTGGAGCCAGCTTAGTTCTCCAGAACTTGCTGTGACCTTGGTCTACCAGCTTCCTTTCTTTGGGCCAAGGCTGGTACTGTCCGCCCCCCATCAGGATGGGAACGGTTAGAAAGTGCCATTACTCCGCCCACACCTTGCTGGGGGTGGGGGTGTGGTTTCCAGATGCGCCCAGCATAGCCTGGGGAGCACCCCCGCTGCGCCCAAGGATAGGAGGGTGGTCGCCATGGAGATTCCCAGCGAGGGTTTGGGCCAATCTCCCACCGAAAGCGTCACACTTGTTGGTCCTTTCTTACAGAAGTGGGGGGCCCTGCAGTGGGAACCCCAAAGGAGTGAGGACCCCAGCTCTCAGAGACACTTTCCAGTGAGGGGAGTAGACGGCTGGGGATACCGGAGGCCCGCTTCTGGCGCGCAGCCGGTCGGAAATGGCCGGGAGGGCGCATCGGGTTGCAGTCAATTGTTCCCTGCGGGAGCCCTAGGGGATGGGTTCACCCGAGGGTAGCGAGCTTCCCCGGGCGCCGGGCTAGGGTCTCCCCGCCCCTGCGGCCGCAACAGGGTAGATCGCGCGGGGGAAAGGGGCCGCGAGCGGACAGCGGGCACAGGGCGGGTCACCATCCCCGCCACGCGGACCGGCCCCGTGGGGGGGAGGCCGCCCGCCGAGGAGCTCCAGAGCCGGGCGCCGAGCCTGGGGCCGGCGCGGGACCCCACAAGGCGCCGAGGCCCGCCCCGCGCGCGCATCTGGCTTCCCCATCTGCAGAGCTTGAGAGGACAAAGGGGTGAAGGAGGGCCCGGCGAGGCGGCCCGCCCCCCTGCTCACAAAGGCCGCGGCCCCGAGCGCGGGGCAGGCGAAGGGGGAAGGGCAGCCACTCGGGGCGCCCCCACCCACCGCCCCGCAGAGCCGACCCCACCCAGACTCGCCAGGGGGGTGAGAAAGGCCCCGCGGGCGGGGAGCTGGACACACCCCACGAGGATCAAAGGCCCCGCTGGTTTCCCCCCACCCCATCCTGCGGAAAGAGACCGGGGGCGGGGGGATGCGCCTTTAGAAAGCTGGGACCCTCTCCGGGCGCAACAAGGCCCGCCGACGGGGGGAAGGGCCGGAGGGAGGCGGCGCCGGCGACCCTCCCCAGCGCGGGGCCCCCGGAACCTGGACGCGCGAGGAGGCCCAGAAGGAGCGAGGGGGTTGGGGGCGGAACGCGACGCAACTCGCCGCGGGGCCTAGCGAACCCCCTCTTCCCCCGGGGCGGTGTAGGGACGTGCGGCGGGGCCGGAAGATGGGCAGGGCCCCACCCCTCGCCCCCTCCCCCAGGCGCGCCGCACGTCCGGGGGGCCCGGGGCGAGGGCGCAGGGGCCACTCACCCTGGCGCGTGGACACGTTCCTCTCGTTGGCCGCCTGCAGCACGACCTGGGCGCAGCTCTGCTCCAGCGCGAAGAGCTCGTCCTTGCCCACCTTGGTGGCCTTGCCGGCCTTGAGCGTGCCGCTGGGCCCCGACGGCGCCAGGTAGCGGCCGTCGCAGTCGCGGAAGGCCACCTTGCCAGAGCGGAACTCGAGCGTGTAGCCCGTGGCGGGCTCGGGCCGCGCCACAAGGCGCCCGTCGTGGCGCAGGAAGCGGTGGTCGGCCGTCTGCACGCTGTATCGCTGGTCCTGGAAGGCGAGCGTGATGAGCGAGTCGACGCCCCAGGGCACGTCGCGGTCCACCGCGATCTCGTCGGCCGGCCGCGCGCTCAGGTGCGCGTAGCGCTTGCGGGTCAGGCTGTAGATGTTGACCTGCGGGTGCATGGCGATGTGCACGCTCCACTTCTCGGCCGGCGACACGGTCTGCGCGAAGCACGACAGGCGGTCCTCGGTGCCGCCGAAGTAGCGCCGGTGCGCCTCGGACTGCAGCGACCAGCGGCCGTCGTCGTGCGCCACGATGAGGAAGCGGCAGTCGGCGCCCGGCGCCTCGCGCTCGCAAGTCACGTTGCCATCCTTGTCAGCGGCCAGGTAGCGGCCCAGGTGGCTGCGCAGGCACACGGCCGCGCTGCCCGCCTCGTCGGGCGGCTGCTCCAGCGTCCAGATCTGCTTCTTCTTCAGGCTGCTGGCCGACGCATTCACCTTGAAGCCGAAGGCCTCGGCCGTCAGGTACTTGTTGCCGCAGTTGATGAGGCCGAACTGGATCTGCACCGCCTCGGCCGTGCCGTTGGCGGGCATGGTGGCGGCGGGCGTGCGTCCCCGGCGCGCCAACTCCTTTGTTCGAGACCCGCCCGGCGCACCCGCAGCAGCGATCCACAAAGCCGGCCCGCGCGCCGCAGCCTTTTTATAAGCGGGGTGACGTCATGTCGGCGGGCCACGCCCCCTCCGCCTGGGAAGGGGGAGGGGGTCGCGCACCCGAGAGTCGGCTCAGGGGGCGGGGACGCGGGGCCGGGAGGGGCGAGGTTAAGCTTTGCGAGCTCCCGGGTCCCCTGGTTTGCCCCTGAAGTCTGCCTCTCGGGCTGCAGGGAGAGGCCCCTGTCCCCTCTGCAGTGCCAGGACACCGCCCCTTCCCCTCCAAAGCCTCCCCGCGGCGCGCGGCCTCCGGACTAGCCAGCAGCGACGTGCGCCCGCCCTGGGACCCAGCGGAGGGCCCGAGTCGGGGCCTAGCGGGGAAGAAAGACCAGAAAAGTTCGATTGTGACAGACCACAGGACCACAGAGCACCTCGAGACAGGGTGGGAGTCGACCGAGGGACTGCTCGGAGGTGACCTAAGGGCGCAGACTGGAAGATGGCCATAGCGAGGGAGGAAGCTGGAGGCCGGCGCACTAGTGTGCCTGGGAAACCCAGCAGAACGGAGTGGGGCCCCGAGACCCTGGCACCCAGGGAGTCTTTGGCCCTTTATGTCCGGCCCTCTGCCAGCTGTGGCCCCCCTCCCAGGGCGCTATCCTTAAAGCCACCCCAGATCACTCACAGTGACCCTAACAATCAGTCTGTTAGCCCCATGAAGCCAAAGTGGCCATGTCAGTGACCAAGGTCCCTTCTTGGTGACACATAAGACACAGGCCTGCTCTACCAGGCAGAAGTTGGTAGAAGTTATTGTCCCATTAAAAGGTGAACCTTGGGGTGACCCAGCCCCCAAAACTCAAGGGCTGTGAGTGTGATGGGACCCACCCGCTCATCCAGAGATCTCCACTCTCAAACCCCCAAGGGGATATTCCCTGTGGGCAGCCCCAGCTCTCCTCAGTTCAGGAGATCTAGGAACACTTCCCTTTTCTGAACCTCTTGGAAGTCCATCATTTTCCTGGGACATTCCCCACATGCCAAGAAAGGCCCTGGAATGCCAGCGTGACCACAGGCTGCCCACAAGGTCCCGGGCAGAGGTCCAGCTGCAGGCAGAGGGCACTGGGCTGGCGGCTGCCCTCACTCAGCCTTCCACTCTGGAAGGACCCCCTTGAGCACTGAGCTGGCTGGAAATTGGCTATACCTGCAGGTAGGGAGGCCTGAGAAAGGACATGCCTATTGCACCCCACACACACAAAGAACCCACCACTCAGAGAACCAGAAAAATAAAAAATTACTCCTGGTGCCACAGTATGATCTGTCTGAGAGACTGAGAGTTCAAACTCACTGACCGGCCGCTCTGTGGGAAAGAAATGAGGTGGTCTGCTCCTATTCAGATTGTTTTGGAAATCCAATAGACGGTCACCAGGAAGCAGAATCCATTTGACAGCAGTCACCTTAGTATATAAGAGATCAACTCCTACCTGAAAGGTGAGTGGTTCAAGCCTGCCAGCCCACCACTGGAGAAAGATATGCCAATCTGCCTCTTAAAGATTACCTATATCCTCGTAAGCCCTGCGAAGCCATTCTATGTCACAAGAAGCTGAGAATCAACTTGACAATCCCCAAACAGCACGAACGAGTCACAAAGACTCAGGCTCGAGACCCAGTGACTAACTGGCTGTGACCTCAGGCAAGTTACTCAACTTCTCAGAGCGCCAGTGTCCTCTTTCTTAATTCTTTTTGTTGTTTGCTTGTTTAGTTAAGATACATGTAATATAACGTTGTTGTTGGTATGTACCATCAAGTCAAAATCAACTCATAGCTGACCCTCCAGTGGGTTTTCAGAAGCTGTAAGTTGCTCAGAAGAACACCGCACATCTTTCTCTCTCAAAGCTGTTGGTGGGTTTGAACCTTGAGTCCTTACCAAGCCCTTACTAAGCCACCAGACCTCCCTTAAAAGAAAAGTTGTGGTTGTTGTTGTTGTTATGTGCCGTCGAGTCGCTTGCGACTCATAGCAACCCTATGTGCAACAGCCCTAAACTCCGCTCTGTCCTGTGCCAATCGCACTGTCTCCAACACTCCCATCCCAATTATCCAAGTCACTGAATCAATCCACCTCATAGAGGGCTTTCCCCTCCTGTGCTGTCCCTCCACCCTCCCAAGCATGATGCCCCTCTTCAAGGACCGGTCTCTCCTCACAACATGTCCAAAGTAAGTTAGATGGAGCCTCAGAATCCTTGCCTCCAAGGAGCCACCCGGTTTAACCCTTTCCAGGACAAATCTGTTTGTTTTCCTAGCAGTCCATGGTATTCTCAATACTCTTCTCCAGCACCACAGCTCAAAGGCATCAATTCTCCTTCTATCCTCCCTGGTCATTGTCCAACTCTCTGATGCATAACAACTGATTGCGAAGACTATGGCCTGTATTAGATGCACCTTAGTCTCCAGAGAGACACCACTGCTCTTCGGTACTTTGGAGAGGTCCCTAACAGCAGACTTTTGACCTTTATATGAATTTGGAATGCCTGCCCATCACAAATGTCTATTTACAGGTCTCTGGTTTTGCCACAAACAGAAGCTCTTACCTGGAGACAACTCCCCACGCCCCTCGCCTGTGGAGAGGGACATCACCCTGGTAATGGAGTGGGTCTGGACGCAGACCCGCCGGGGTGGGCCGACGTCGTGGCTGCAGGACAGCTGTGAGGATGCCACAGGACTGGGCAGCGTCCACTCTGTGGGATGTGAGGTCATTAGGATTCGGACCAGACTCCATGGCACCTAGTGTTCCCCTCTCCAGGAGCGCTGGTGGCATGGTGGGTAAAGCATTGGGCCATGAACTGAAAAGGTCATCCGTGTGAACCCACCAGCAGCTTTGCTGGAGAATGGAGAGGTGGTTGGCTTCATTTATCGCCTCGGAAACCCAACAGAGGGTGGCAAAAGAGACAAAAATCTAGTCAAGTGAGTTCTTAAATACTCCATTAGCATCCCATGGCACAGTTAAAATGCTCAGCTGCTAGTCAAAAGGTCGGAGATTCTAGTACACCCAGAGGCGCGTCAGAAGAAAGAGCTGGCATTCTGTTCGGGGAAGATGAGCCACTGAGAACCCTACAAAGGGCGGCTCTGACCCCCATGGGCTGGCGGTAGCGGGACGAGAAGGCAGACGTTTTGTTGATAACGCAGTGCTTGTTTACCCGCTCGGCTCCTGATGGCTTTTCCCATGTTTTCACGGCCGTGAACTTCAGCAAACAAGTTTCTGTTTGAGTCACGACTATCAGGTCTTTTGGGTAGATTCCTGGGGATAGGATCTTGAGTAAGATTTTCTTTTTTGTTACTATTGTTGTTATGTGCCATTAAGTCAGGTATGACTCGTAGTGACCGTATCAACAATAGCTCTGAACCCTGCCCTGTCCTCAGCCAACTTCACCATCTCTGACACACTTAATCCCATTGTCACTGTCCCTCTGTCAACCCATCGTATCTGGGGTCTTCCTCTCCTGCACTGTCCCTCCACCCTTCCAAACATGATGTCCTTCTCCAAGGACTGGTCCCTCCTGGCAACGTGTCCAAAGTATGTGAGACAGAGCTTCAAAATCCTTGCCTCCAAGGAAGAGCCTGGTTTCACCCTCTCTAGGACAGGCCTGTTTGTTCCTTTTGCAGTCCATAGTATGCTCAATACTCTTCTCCAGCACCATAGCTCAAAGGCATCGATTCTTCTGTCATCCTTTGTCATTGTCCAGCTCTCAGATGCACGGCAAGCAATTGAGAAGAACATGGCTTGGATCAGGCACATCTTAGTCTTCAGACTGACATCATTGCTCTTTAGCATTCTGGAGAGGTCCTTGACAGCAGATTTTCCCAATGCAACTTGTCTTTTGATTTCCTGATTGCTGGAGCCAAAGAGTGTTAGGTACCTTCAAATTAACTTTGACTCACAGCAACCATAGGTACAATACAAAGAAGTCCCACCTCTGCAATCTCAGAGGCTCACGGTTCAAATCCACCAGGTGCTCCGCTGGAGAAGGAGGGGCAGTCTTCTCCTGTGCCACTCAGATCCTATTCGACAGTACACAACAGTGTAAGGAATTGCACTGCCAACCCCAGGGCACATAGTTCAAATCCAGCAGCTGCTTCTCAAGAGAAAGATGGGTAGTCTCCTGTGCAATTTACAGCCTCTGAAAACCCGCTAGAGGGTCAGCTATGGGTCTGCTCCACACAGGACAAGTTTATTCATATGAAAGATCTAGAACAGTCAGTCCATAGAACACTAGACTAGGAGCTGCCAGGAGCAGGGGAGGAATGAGGGACTGACTGTCTTTGGGGGTGATGGAAAGTTCTAGACTTAAGTGGGAATACAGTGGTTGGAAACAACATCACTATGGCTTTGGCAGAGGAGAGAGTGTGGTGTCCCTCACCAGAGGCAATCAAACCAAGACTGAGCCCAAACCAAACTCACTGCACTGACCAAAGGTAACCCAACGTCTATTTTAAAATTAAGTCATAATAAAGGCTTTCGTTCCACATCTGTTGACATTATATTGCCCTCTCCTTAGCCCCTAGCAGGACTCTGGGAGATGTAAATGGTTTGCACACTATAACTAAGGGCTAGAGGTTTGAGCCCAGAGGTACCTCACAAGAAAGGCCTGGCAATCAGCTTCATGAAGGAAGATCCAGCCAAGAAAACCCTGTGGGGCAGTGCTGCTCCGTCACACGTCAGTGCCCAGGGGTCGGATCAGCCAACCTGTGTGCTGTCTCTGGATTTCTCTCTTCTCACACTTCACCTCGATGGAATAGTGCATGTGACCTGCTCTTTGGCTTCTTTCCCTGTGAGGGTTTGGAACTTGTCTTGTTTTCAGTTATGATTCATTTTCATTGTAAAGAATAGAGGACCAGAAGCACGCAGGTGTTTAGCAAAGGAAGCTTCCCAAAATTGGCCCCTTGCCTTGCCCCAACACCTCATGTGTCCCCTCCCTGTACCTTAGC